GAAAGGTGAATAAGTGTAAATTAAATGTAATCAGTAAATATGCTGCTGGAAAAGTATTTTTAAAAGGAATACATCTACATATTTTTAGGAATGAAAAACTAGTGAAAATTACAAAAATGAAATATATGAGAAAACTTATGAATTAATATAATTCTATAATGACAAAACAATTGAAATGTTAATTAGTTGGTGTATTTGTTTCCGAAGTCTACTGTAACAAATGATCACAAACGGTGCCATAGCAGAAATTTATCCTTTCACAGCCTGGAGGCCAGAAGTCTGCGATCAAGGTGTTGGCAGGGCTGCCCGGTCCCCATGGTTCTAGAGGAGAATCCATGCCTTGTTTCTTCCAGCTTCTGAAAACTCAAGCATATTAGCTGAAAACCCACGGGAACAAAATGAGAGTTTCTTCATTCATTCTTACAATTCATTCAACAAATGCTTGTTGTGAGTCTGCCCTTCCAGACACATGGAATGGATGGAGAGCACAGGCACGTTTTCTCTGCTCATGGGGCTTATATTCAGAGAGCGGTATTTGGTAGGATGGGGAAGGCATAAAGGAGGCAGAAAGTTAACAAACAGGTAAAGAGATCCTAATAAACTTACAATAAAAGCAAACCCTATGCAGAAATAGAGTATTGTGATAGTCAATTTGAAGTTAAACATTTCAAATAAACGATAATGCATTATAACAAAAGTAACCATTTCAGATATAGAAATATTTGATAGAATTTACCAGCAACGCCATCTTGGCCTCCAACTTCAAGAGAAATGTAGTCTTTAGCAAGACAAAATGGCATAAATATTTAAGAAAAAACTAATATCACACTTGAACTCTAAGAAAACTAGGAACATATCTCAATTCATTTTGTAAGGCTCAAATTAGCCTGATACGAAAAGCAGAAAAAGGAATTAGAAGAAAAAAAATGATAGACCAATATCCCTTATGAATATCCTGAACACAATATTAGTTACTGAATTTAACAGCAAAGAAAAAAGATAATATACCACGGTCAGATGGAGTTTATCCCAGGAACTCCAGGTTGGATTAACATTTGAACAATCAGTGTAATTCTTTATGTTAAAAAGAAAGAAAAACCATAAGGTCATATCAAAAAATGTAGAAAAAATTAGACTTATAAGCAAACTAGGAAAGTAAGGGAACTTCCATTTCCTGATAAAGTGTAACTGCAAAATACCTATAGCCAGTATGACTCTTTATGATGAAAGACTCCATCATTTCCATCTAAGGAGAAAAGGCAGGGCTATCTCTCTCAGCACCTTTATTTAATATTGTTCTGGAGGTTTAATTACTTGATAAGGCAATAAAAAGAAACAAAGGGCATGCAGATTGTGAAGGAAGAAGGAAAACTGTATTTATTCACAGACAACATGATTGTATAGACATTAAATCCTAAGTGATCGACACAAAAAGCTGAAACAACCAATACTGAAATTTAGCAGTGTTTCAGGGTACAAGGTCAACACATAAAACTGAAATGGACTATCTATATAATTGCAGTGTGCCATAGACAAACGAAAAATTTTAAATGACACTTAACATCCTAAACCATTACTTAGAAATGAATTTAACAAAATATGTGCAAGACCTATACATTCAACACTACAAAATATTGATGAGATAAACTAAAGAAAATCTAAATAAATGGAGAGAAATACTATGATCCTGAACTGGGAGACTCAATATTGTTAAGATGCTAATTCTTGCCAAACTGATATATAAACTCAATACTAGGGTTGTGTCACAGACACAAACCTAATAGGCATTTTTGTTGAAATTGACAAGAGGATTCTGAAACTTATTATATGCACAGGACACAGAGTAGCCCAAACAATGGGGAAAAGAAGAGCAAAGCTGGATGACTCACCTCTGATATCAGGACTTACTATAAAATCACAGTAATCAAGACAGTGTGCTACTGCAGTATGGATACATAGTTAAATAAATAAAACAGGATAGTCCAGAAATAGATCCATATATATACAGGCAACTGATTTTCAACAAAGCCACCAAAGCAATTCAATGGACAAAACCAAAGCGTTTTCAACAAGTGGTGCTAGGACAACTAGATATCCATACAGGAAACTTAATTCTAAATGAATCACAGTCCTAAAGGTGAAAGTCCAAACTAGAAAACTTTTAGATAAAAATGCTGGAGAAGATCTTTGCCTGTAATAAATTTTCATATACATGGAATCATATGGCGTATATTCTTTTATATGTCTTATGTTTTGCTTGGCCTGAGGTTTTGGAGATTCATTCATGTTGTGGGTGTATCATAGACCATAGACCATTTTTTTTTTTTTTTTTTTTTTTTTTTNTTTTTTTTTTTTTTTTTTTTTTTTTACTGCTGAGTAATACACCGTTGTGTGATGTACTGCTATCTGTTTCTCCGTTCATGTGCTGAAAGACATTTGGGAGAAGTGTATTGATTGTAAAGGCATGTGAAAACTTCCTGTGTCATGAAAAAATTTAAGAAAATTGTAGTTCAACACATTGAGTAGAAATTTTCTCATACATGTGTGATCTGAGAGAAACAGCTCTTCTAGTCTTACCGTCAACACCCTAGACTAAATAAAGATTCTCTGAGCTGGAGGAGATGAAAGAGAGGAGCTGAATGAAGTAAGAAGAGTGGATGTAAGATCTGGGCTGGTGTGCACCTGTCTCCTGTTCCCAAGATCAGCAGGCCAGGGCCTCAGTGAAATGTCAGGATCTGATAATAGAAGGCATTGTTTCCTTATTTCCTGAAACATGTCCTTGGAAGGTGGGGATTTTTACTCTCCCTCCGCCCAACACTGGCACGGTAGAAATTATAAAAAATAAATTCATGGGTTTCTTAAGCAAGGGACAGAGATCCTGAAGTCATAAAACCCCTGAAATGCAAAACCTGAAAGTTTTTTCTTGTGTCTAAGAGTGAAGGCGATCAGGTAGTGAGAGTCATGGCTGGCTGTGGGGTCTGGAGGCTGGGTGGGAGGAGACACAGGTGGAGCATGGGCTCTATGACCTGGGCCTAGAGAGGACTTCATACCTTAGTAGATGGCAGCCTGGAGAGGGAAAGGAGCATTAGAGAGAAATGGAGGGCCTCACCTGGTATTAAGCTAACTATGCAAGAATTATGGGTCTTCATCTTGTGTGTGTTGGACTTACTTTCACAACCTCACTGCCAAGGAGCTACAAGTGTAGCACACTTACAGAGTTGAAGTAAGGGGCAAGTTCAGCTCATTAAATGATTACCTGGGGTCCGGAGCAGTGGCTCATGCTTGTAATCCCAGCACTTTGGGAGGCTGTAGTGGGTGGATCACCTGAGGTGAGGAGTTCGAGACCAGCCTGGCCAACATGATGAAACCCTTTCTCTACTAAAAATATACAAATTAGCTGGGTGTGGTGCTGCATGCCTGTACTCCCAGCCACTTGGAAGGCTGAGGCAGGAGAATCACTTGAACCCAGGAGGCAGAGGTTGCAGCAAGTCAAGATTGTACCACTGCACTCCAGCCTGATTGAGTGAGAGTTTGTCTAAAAAAAAAAAAAAAAAAAAAAAAAAGATTGCCTGAGTTTCCCCAAACAAATGCTTTAAACCTTTATGTTGATTGCAAGGAACATGGCTGTGCTGTAGCCAAGCAGGCATAGGCCGAGGTAAACATCCTGCATGACTCAGCAGGATTGTAGCGCAGGTGCACAGTCCTGTGTATAATGTAAACACAGCTATGTAGCCATAACATGGAGAGGCTCATCACCTGGCTTGGGGCAACTATTGTTTGTGAGATGCATAAATGCAGCACCGACAGTGTGAGGAGCTGCTAAATAAAGCCATGTCTCATCCACGTGCTGTCTCTTGAGTGTTCTTCCAGCTCCCTGTCCCCTGTCCACCCATTCCCCTTGGACCTCAGCTGGAGCTTGAACCCAACAATGATCAAAATGGAAAAAAAGGTAAAGAAAAATTCTAAACTTAAAAAAACAATGCAAGGTACTTGTATTTGTCTCTTGTAGAATATTGTAAAATTTTGACAGATATGAAATTTGAGACAGTGGTGCTAGAATCTTATGATGTCTGTCCCAAATTTGTGTGGAACTTGAAAGTGACAAATAGCTTTCAAATCCATTGTCACTAGACCCTCCAGATCTTTTCCTTTGTCACCAAACCCTCCAGATCTTTTTCAGCCTCCTTTGCTTGATCTTCATCTCCTTCCACCTAGATGATAGCAAGAGCACCCACCCACCAGGCTCCTCCACCCACAGATTTCACCTGCAATGTGGGTTACACCTGTTGCACCTGGCCCTGGCCCCAGAGGACACAGAATTAGTGCTACACTGTAGAGGGCATGTAGAGGAGCGCAAAGAGCCCTGACTCAATCAAGGCCCCACTCTAATTAGTTTGATTGCACACACATATGTGCATGCATGTGCAAGTGTGTGTGTCCAGGGAATGGTAGGAGGTATTGGGAAATGAACTCAGGCCCATTCAGCTCTGAGACATCCACCCCTGAGTGTTTTCCTGAGCTGGTGGGGACCTCTGCAGGGGATCCAGGGCAGAGGGCCCCAGGCAGGAAGACCCAAGAGGGGGTAAAAAAAAGACATCTAAAAGAAGGTCACCGAAGTTTATCCAGAGCTATTCACCTCAGAGAGTTCATAGGAGAGAATACCCATTTTACAGACAGGGAATCTGAGTCCCCTCAAGCGTGTAGCATACAGAGATGGTCAGTGGGCATGTAGAATACCCTCCTGGGACACTTGTGGACTCAGTTTCTTCCAGATTCTTCTCATGTCCTGATTCTTGGGGCCAGGGAAAGAAGGTACACGTATTCCCTAGAAGAGTCAACAGAATAGACTCTGGAAGCAATAGCCCCCACTCCCCCCCAGGGCTATTTCCTCTAACAAGGCCACAGAGTGCTCCGTTCCCTGGCGGCGACTTCAAGTGTCACGTTTCCTGGACACCTCCCAGGGCCCTGCTCCCTCATAGCAATGAGCCCCAGGCTCTTCCAGGGAGAGGCAACCCTTCTCAGGACTGGGGACCACAGACTGATTGGGGACCTTCCTCTGGAGCTTCTATTCCTGGGGATTCAACCTGGGCTCCCCACCGGACTGAAGGCCCACCTGCAGAGCACAGTCTGCACTCCTGCTCGGTCTGAGACCCTGGCTGTGCGTGGAGGCCGAGAAACGTGGACTCCACCCTCACTGTCTGCTGGTAAGGGAGGACTCCCTTGTCGCACGGCAGAGTAAGTCAGGAGGGCCACAAAGAGTAGAGTGTGGGAAGGTGTTCTGGCGACACTGCAGTGAGGACGCGAGGGAAGAATCAAAGAGAAACTGCAGGTGGCTGCAAATGCGCGCACGCGTGTGCACGCTGACGGCAATAGCAGCGTCTGGCCCGCAGGGGGCGGGGGCAGCCTGTCCATCACCCGGAGCGTGATCAGCCTGCTCGCCCGGCTGTGCGCCCTTAGAACCCCTTCTGAAGTGCTACGCAGGCAGCACCCTGGCTCTGCTTCCCGTCCTCCCGGACAGCGGCAGGTGCAGTGGAAGGAGCGCTGGGCTGGGCAGCCTGGGCTCCTGATGCACCAATTCACTGAGGAACCTGAAGGGAATCAAAGGGGATAGTGGCGACCGCTTCACAAGCATATTGTGGAAATTAAATTAGACTAGTCATTCCCAGACTACTCTGCACGCTGGGATCATCTAGGGAGCTTCAGAAATGCAGATGCCTGATTCCACCCAGGGTGCCTAATTTAATTGGTCTGGGTGTGGCCTGGGCTTTGGCATTTTAAAAAATATTACTCAGATAATTCTAAGGTGCAGAGAAGTTTGGAATTCCAGAGTCAGATACTCCTGTGACCAGCCATTGTAAACTCTAAGTTGCAAACGTGCTTTTACTCTTTTACCTGAGGTCCCTTCTTTTCGACCTTGTTTCTGTATAATTGAAATTCAGTCTCACTTCTCTCTGCATCTGCAAGCTCTTGCATAACCTTTCAACATGGAAAATGCAGATTTGTCTCACCATCTGAACTCAAACTATTCAAACTTTTACTCCCACGAACTGTACAAAGTTTGCTCCAAATGCACGATCTGATTAAAAAAATCCACTATGACACACGTCTGCAAGCACCAAGGAAGACAGTCAAGGTACAGTGAGTGCAGGAGAGGGCAGAGGGTCCCCGGCCGTGGTGCCTCTGCTCTTCCCCATTGGAAAGGGTTCTGGGGTTCTCGCTGTTCAATTCTGTCAGGCGCTTGGGGGCACGACAAACCCAGGTCTAACTTAGATAAAATTCTTAGTAGCTTCAATTCAGTCAGTATTTCAGGGTTATTTTCATCACACTCCACGTTCATTACAGTGTAGAAGTGAATTGTAATTTGTGTACAATACCATGCGTGCTGCACACACACTCATGCACTATTAAGACTGTTCAACATGAAATAACGCGGTATTTGGTGTTTTGGGGATTACTGTTGTGCGTACTTTTGGGAGTGTGTTGTGAAAGTGTGTAAAAGGCTCCTGTAATAAGTGGGAACATTGGTTGGGGGTAGATGATTCGGGAACACTTTCCTCTGGTTCTTATGTGTGGTAATTAATTCAGGCTCATGCTATCTGAACATTGCCATAGGCACAGACACACACTGGCATAGACACAACCTTACTCTTAGAACTGGGCAGGCAATACCTATAGCCAGTATGACTCTTTATGATGAAAGACTCCATCATTTCCATCTAAGGAGAAAAGGCAGGGCTATCTCTCTCAGCACCTTTATTTAATATTGTTCTGGAGGTTTAATTACTTGATAAGGCAATAAAAAGAAACAAAGGGCATGCAGATTGTGAAGGAAGAAGGAAAACTGTATTTATTCACAGACAACATGATTGTATAGACATTAAATCCTAAGTGATCGACACAAAAAGCTGAAACAACCAATACTGAAATTTAGCAGTGTTTCAGGGTACAAGGTCAACACATAAAACTGAAATGGACTATCTATATAATTGCAGTGTGCCATAGACAAACGAAAAATTTTAAATGACACTTAACATCCTAAACCATTACTTAGAAATGAATTTAACAAAATATGTGCAAGACCTATACATTCAACACTACAAAATATTGATGAGATAAACTAAAGAAAATCTAAATAAATGGAGAGAAATACTATGATCCTGAACTGGGAGACTCAATATTGTTAAGATGCTAATTCTTGCCAAACTGATATATAAACTCAATACTAGGGTTGTGTCACAGACACAAACCTAATAGGCATTTTTGTTGAAATTGACAAGAGGATTCTGAAACTTATTATATGCACAGGACACAGAGTAGCCCAAACAATGGGGAAAAGAAGAGCAAAGCTGGATGACTCACCTCTGATATCAGGACTTACTATAAAATCACAGTAATCAAGACAGTATGCTACTGCAGTATGGATACATAGTTAAATAAATAAAACAGGATAGTCCAGAAATAGATCCATATATATACAGGCAACTGATTTTCAACAAAGCCACCAAAGCAATTCAATGGACAAAACCAAAGCGTTTTCAACAAGTGGTGCTAGGACAACTAGATATCCATACAGGAAACTTAATTCTAAATGAATCACAGTCCTAAAGGTGAAAGTCCAAACTAGAAAACTTTTAGATAAAAATGCTGGAGAAGATCTTTGCCTGTAATAAATTTTCATATACATGGAATCATATGGCGTATATTCTTTTATATGTCTTATGTTTTGCTTGGCCTGAGGTTTTGGAGATTCATTCATGTTGTGGGTGTATCATAGACCATAGACCATTTTTTTTTTTTTTTTTTTTTTTTTTT